CTCTCCTTTTGGGTGTTGTGGTCTGCAAAAGAGGCATTGAGTGGCAAACATGTTCAGTCCATAGTCTACTTTCGACATGCATCTCCCCTCCTGGGAGGATCCTCCAAACATCCTTTATTTGGTGCTCCCTTCTCTATCTGAGCTGCCCTTTCCTCTAGGATACCCGGCTGGCCTCTAAGTTATGGAGTAATCCTCCTGGTGCTGATCTCAGCTATTCTTGGGTATTAATCTCATACTTTGTTACTTTATATCCCCCAGATGAATGCAATCTTTCTAAGACATTGAATTTTTTATTGTATTTTTAATTTTGTATTAAAACAATTGTGATTTACAATGTTATGGATGGCTGAGTTTTAGGCATATGATATTTCAACACCAATCCCACCCCCTGTGTCACCTTCTCCCGGCCCCCACCCCGTCTCGCCTGTTTCCTTGATGGCGGGTTGCACAGTCCCAGTGGCTGCGGCTTTGAGAGCCCGTTTCAGTCTGTGCATATGGCGGTACCACTCACCTGTGCCACCAGTACGGAAGCCTGATGCTGCTTCTCCCATCATTTCCTGCTCTCTTCTCCGCCCTCCCCCCCCACCCCCCATTTCTATCCTTCCTGTCCTAAACACTGGGAAGACTTTGCTTTTAAAGAGTTATCGGTGTTGATCAAGTAAGTTGATCTAATGCCTAACAACACATTCTGTCCCGGTTTTGCTTGTCGATTGCTTCCCAGGAGAGTGGAATCGATGAAGTGAGTGAGGGGAACCCACTTCCATGCGGATGGGGGTTGAGGGACAGAGGCCAGGAGTGGCCTCGCAGGCAGAGCACAGTGTCATTCCACGTGGTGTGGTCTCTGCCAGCGCTGCTGCCCCAGAACTCATTGGTTTGTGGAGATTGTATTAGAGCCTACCCTTCCTGGGGTTGCATCCAAAGTCTTGCGATTCAACTCCACTTCAGCCCACCAAGAGCACACTGCTCTTTAAAAAGCTTCTGTAGGGTTCATTTCTGGTGAAGCAGCAAGAGAACATCATGATCTTGAGACTTGCACTTCTGAATAAACAAAGGAAAATAAAGCGCCGTCATACAATGTCGTTCCATTACAGTTTGAAAGATGCATCTATTACATGTGATCTCATAAGCTCTGGTTCCGTTTCCTTAGGGCTTTTCAGTAAAGCGTGAACCGCACAAACAGAACATTTTGTTCAGATCCCAAAGAAAACCTTTTGGGGGCCAGAGGAAAAATACAGCGGGAAAGGGGCTTGCCTGGCACATAGCAGAGAGACATTCCATCCCCAGCACGCCAGGCGGTCCGGTCCCCCTCGTCTACCGGGAGTGATTACTGAGTGCAGAGTCAGGAGAAAGCCCAGAGCGCTGCCAGGTGTAGCCCAAAAGCACAAAGCAAAAACAAACAAACCCCTTTTGCTCTTACGGCTTTCAGAACTCTTAAGGTTAGAGGAACCGCTTAATTCAGCAAGTTTTATAAATTTCTGGCCACTAGGTGGTGGTCTTGACTAGTGTGCCCTACCCACTTTAAACTCCAGGAAGCTTTCAAGAATACTGAACAAAGGAAAACCAGAGGGAGCCAGAAAGAGAGTTCAGGGGTGAAGGTGTTTGCCTTTGTGCAGCCAACTCACTTTTAAGGAACCTGAATTGACAGGAAAAGTACTAAATACAACGTAATGTACCTATGATTCAGTCAGTTCCATAGAACTCGCAATAACTTCTTTTGAAGAGTTCACACAGTGAGTAACTTTATAGAGGGAGGTAACCAGGACTCTATTTTTCAAGGCTTTACAGTTAAAAAGTGAATTTACAGCACTCAAAAGTCCTTCCTTTTATCACACAGAATTTTTTTCCCCATCACATAAAAAGTTTTAAAATGGTACTTTATTTTGGGGCTGCAGAGGTAATCCAGGGGTTAAGGCACTTACCTTGCAAGCAGCTGACCCGGTGTCGATTCTCAGAACCACACCTGGTTGCCTGAGCCCAGCCAGGAGTAAGCGCTGAGGCCCACCCACATTTTAAAAAGTACTGTTTTAAACTTCATTTTGCCTATTTTTTTCATTTCAGAATCCCGTGGCTTGTTGTAGCATTCATTTACTTCTGGTTTTTAAGCCACCAGAAATAGAAGCTTTAAGCAACCTCTTTTAGTTGGGATCTAGAGTCACTTTTGGTTTGCGTATCAGACACGCTTGGCGTGAAGACGTGGCTAGCTGATAAAATAGACACATCGGCTCTGCACTAAATCTTGGCTCTCAAGGAATTAGTTATTTTCGCCTTGTTTTTGCTGAGTTCGAGGGCGAGTCGTCCTCCCAGCACTTTGGCTGTGGTTAAGGAATGAATTATTTACCGGAGCTCAGTTATCTCAGACCCTGAGTGGGCCTTCTTACGACACCAGCTAGTCCTGTTTCCGGTGGAAGCGTTCCCAGAGTGAGTCTGTGGCACTTCCCTGGCCTCCTAAATCGGGCTTTTCCTGCCCCTTCCTGATGAGCCAAGGGTCTTTCTTTAAGGCCAGACTCTGCGCCTTCAAAGCTAATTGCCCAGTGGTGTGTCCTGTGTTCCAGCCTTGAGAACACCAAGGTCACCATGCCTGGTAAGTTCCTGTTTCCACTCTGGATTTCAGGGGCTTCTTTTTCAGTCCACCTAGGGTGTGAATGTTGCTCCTGACCTCACAGTTTCTACCACCGTTCTCCTTTTTTGATCATTATTTTTAATTCTTTTAATTTTGGGACCAGACCCAGTGATGCTCAGGGGTGACTCCTGACTCTGTACCCAGGGATCACTCCTGATGGTGCTCGGGGGACCCAGTGGGATGCCTCCCCACTGTTCTGTTGCTCTGACCCTCTGTCACATTTTTTCCGTGTTGGTTCTGTTGAGGATGACAGTTTATGTTTTGTGTGAGAGCAGAATGTTGCACCAGAGTCAGAGTGGTGTGTATAGTCCTGGACGTGTGTGTGTGTGTGTGTGTGTGTGTGTGTGTGTGTGTGTGTGTGTGTTTGGTCGTTTCTTCTTATACTCAAGGCCTTGGACAATATCTGATTCTAGGATGTACATTGTTGTGTTATTCAGAGGTGGGGAGTAGGATCTGAAAATTGGGATAAAAATACACTTAAATCCCCTCTGGTCTGTTCCTGACTCACTAGGGCCCTTGGTCGTAGGAGAGTGGCCAGTGCTCACCCTGGTCATCGGACTGCTGCCATGTGGCCGCCCGCTCTTACTCACCGTCTCTCCCGGCTTTCTCCTTTCCTGGACCCTGTTCTTACCTCCTGACTGACTTCGTACCCCGCCTGTTTGGCCTCTGGCCGTGATCTTGGGCCTTTGTACCACCATAGGTCTCGCCGGCCTCATTCATGACTTGGGAAGCTGGTCATCCTTTGCAGGGCGGATAGAACGCATGAGCCCACTGTTCCCAATTCTCACCAGTTTGTGATCTGAAAAGCTCAGGTCCAGTCTGGCTCTTTCCATGCGATTTGCAGCATTGTTTCTTATGGCCCTGGACCAGCTCTAAGTCGGGCAATTGTGTTTCGCCCCTGAGTTTCCTCCTCCCTCCCCCCGGCCGTGTTTCCTTTGGATTTGTCACTTCCTTTCTTTGTCGACTGCACTGCGCTCATGCGCGGAGCCGCCGGCGTTCATGGGGAATAAATGATTCATGTCATAATTCCTGGCCGCGAGGAGATAAAAATTTTATGCCGTGGGGTTATTGATCGTGCTTCAACCGTGCTCTGGAATGGGCTGGAGCAGCACCTTGAGGCCGCCCCAACTCGGTACAGATTTTAAAGACGCTTTGCGGCTCCTAATTCCTAGCTTGAATAGTTAATGAGTCTGCAGCTGAAGGCCCAGTAGCTGAATGGCCACTTTGTATCACCACCACCGGGGTACTTGAGTCTGGCTTTCAGGAAGGAAGGGGCAAGTTCAGGGGTCCCAGAGGCAGGCTGACCCAGTGTGCCACAGAGTTGGGCCAGGCCTAGGGGCTGTTGGTGGATGAATCTTGTGGTGATGCGGTGATGCTTTGCACTGACCACGTGCTGCTGGGTCTATGTGTTGACATCGACACTGAGCATGACCCTCTGGTCCTGGGCAGGAGGGAGGAAGCGGAGAATGGAAGCCGCTATGTGCTCCAGGCCCTCTCTAGCATCCGGGTCAGATGCTGGGAGAAGTGGCCGGTGCCTGCTAGGCCAGGATGGATTTGCCGCTCAGATGCCGGGTGGACACCCGGCACCCCATGCCCTGCTTCCAGGACTGAGCCCTCAAACACCGGTGCTGCACCTGGGCTCTGCTTCTGGCCCCTGTTTGGAATCCGTTCTTTTCCTACTCCTGGGCAATTTTTGACCCTTGAAGGTCTTTTTCCAAAGGGACTGAAGAAGGAGTCGTTCTGTATTCCCTTAACAAGAGAACCCTTACACCCAGAGAGAAAGAGAGAGAGAGGTGGGGGGAGAGGGGAGGAGAGGGAGAGAGGAAGAGAAGAGAAGAGAAAGGGCGGAGTGAGGAAGAGAGGAGAGAAAGACCGAGGGAAAGAAGAGAGGAGAGAGGGACCGATAGGATGAGAGCACATGCAGGCCACCTGTGTGTCAAAGGGGTGGGAGGAACAGGCCCACAGTGAGTGACACAGGCCTGGCCCGGCCACTCAGTGCCTTGGGATAAGTCACTTCATCTCTCTTGGTCCCGAGCACCAAACCCCGAAATGAAAGCAGGAGAAGCACCCTGAAGTGGAGAGCCGGCTGGAAGGATGCCGGGCTCCAAGTGGGTGTCGAGAGGGATAGTGGCCTCTGGGGGTGGGTGTGCCCTGGAACCCACCTTTGGAAGAGGTGCAATTAGGTCCCCACACATATGTGGCCTTGTAAACAATTTTTTTAATAACTGATTCTTTGTGCTTCTGTACATACTCCATTCATACTGGATTTGTTTTATTGGGTCAACTTAGGGAAGAAATTTCGATTGTGTGTGGGGCGGGGTCTGCCTTGGGGTTTGTTTTCGTTGACCAGCTGACTGAGGGTGCTGCTGTCTCTCCCCAGGAAAGTGGCTTCGTGCACATCCACACGCCCATCATCACCTCCAACGACTGTGAGGGCGCCGGGGAACTCTTCCAGGTTGAAGTAAGTTATTCTGTTTATCTGGGGAGTGTGTGTGTGTGTGTGGGGGGGGGGTGGTTACATTGCTCTTCAGTATTCATCCGAGGCTTTGTTTTCAGTTTAAGAACAGTTGTGTGGATAGACCAGGATCAGAAGATGAAATTTAGTCAGTAGTGAGCTCTAAAAAAAATGTGAAGTGAATCCAAGCGTCTCTAATATTCTGTCCTGTAACTGGAAAGTTTGCACGGTGACTGGGTTTCTAACTTCTGCTAATTTTGCTCAGCTTACCAGACTGGGAATTAATGGTTGAGAACAACTTAGAGATCAGTTAAATGCCTTTTGGACAAATCCAGCCTCCAGTTAACACTTTGGTTATAAATCATATTTTCAAAGATAAAGTAAAATAGAAAAGTCTGCATATGAATATTTCTTTAGATCTTGCAAAAAGTGTTTTCTTTTCCCATGAGAAATAATTGAAGATTTTATAACTCGGGAAGGCTCCTAGTCTAATTATTTGTTCAACAGTCAGTTTTGAGCTGCTCGTAGCAGCCTGCCCTTGTCTCAGGTAATGTAATAGTTAACCATTCTCACCGTCTGCGGGCACATGAAAGCCTTTCGTGCCCGCGTTAGCGGTCTGTTTGAAGTAATTAGCCAGCTGTATGGTAATATATGGATGAATGGTGCTTTTTAGATTTCATTTAGTTACTGATAATCCTTATCTCAAAGAAGTCCTGATACTAATACATTTGGATGTTTTCATCAAGATTCATTTCTGACTGCTTTCTCTCCTTCAGTATTTTCTGACCTTTATTAAGGATATTTGTTTACATTGCTGAAAAGTGTTCCCTGGAAGAGTTGTCCTGATTTGTTCAAGTCATCCAAATTAATAATCGTATACTGTTTTTCTGTCCATCTGAAGTAGGAGTAAATCTGTATATCTGATTTCAAACGAAGCAGCATATGATAAGATAATAACATAAATTATAAAAGAAATTCTCTTCTAGGCATTTCTCTTTGAGCTATAATACTCTTCTGGCTATTGAAGTGGAAAATAATTACCTGCCTTTGATACATTTTTTAATGACTTAATCTAAGCCACTGAGTATTAAAAATGAGTGACAGGGAAGGAAAGATGTCATTTAAAGGGGTTTTTTATAGAGAAGGAGATCATCATTAGAGACTCAAGTAAAAGAGTCTGCAACAAACTTAAACAATACTCCATTTGGAGCTGTCTCCTCTGCCACCAGGGAAATCCCATAAGCAAGTCCTAATGATGATAATTAATGTGTTTGGACCTCAAGACAGCATGAGGCCGGTGATCTAATATGTATCAGGACACCAGGAGAGAAAAATGGGTGCTAAACAAGGGCTCTGTGTTTGGGGGCCAGGGAGAGGAACTCGCCTTGTCCCTTCCGGGTGTCGGAGACACTGTCAGGATTACTGTCCTGGGCTCCTGTCGTCCGAACCATGTGTTGCTGCTACGCTCCTGTACCCCCTCTTCACTGTTTTCCGAGCTCTTGCTCTGAGATGCGTCTTCTCCTCTGCCCATATCTTCTCAGCTTTGAGCTCACTGCTCCTTCTCCGAGCTCGTACCTGTCCCGGTGGCCTCCTTCAGAGGTTTCCCCGACCACCTGTAGACACAAGAGTTGCAACCTTAGCAGCCTGCTTTTAGAATGACTGGGCGTCTCATGCTTAAATTCGTCTCTTTCTAATGCTCTTTTCAATTCCATTTTATTTTTTGGTTTTGGGAGCCATACCCAGCAGTGCTCAGGCCTTATTCCTCTGGCTCTGCACTCAGGGGTCACTCCTGTCAGTGCACAGGGGGACCTTATGGGACGATGGAGGTCGAACCTGGGTCGGCCACATGCAAGGCCACATGCATTACCCGCTGTATTATCACTCCGGCCCCTTCCTAATGATCTTTGCATGCTAATAAAAATGAAGTGTCGGTGACTATTTAAAGATAAGGTTAGCTAATGTGCCCCAAGGTTTGAGGGAAGGAATCAGAGGTCAACTTGCAACGCATAGCAAATACAAGCTTCTTCTGGTGCCTTTTTGGGAAGGGCATGCCTCTGCCATTATTTCCGTTTTCTTCTGCATCATTTCCCGTTCCTACTTGAAGACTTTGGGTCTCTGCTAAGGTTTGGGGTCGGCTGAACGCATGTTTAGGAGGTTGCATTCAAGGCACTTGTTTGTTGTTCCACAGACGTTTCGGTCCATCTGTGTTCAAGACGCTTTGCTGAACGGCAGAAGGGACAGAAACACAGAGTGGAGCTTCTGGCCTGTAGAGCTGGCTGAGTTGCCGGGGGTTGGGGGAAGGAGCATGCTTCTCCTTGACTCTTCATGTCGTGGACCTCACAGCATTTCTTGATGGTACACTTTTCCTGCTTTGTTCCCACGATTACAGTTTTTGCAATGCCAGTTTGTATCTGCAAAGATAAGAGAGTAACAGTGGGAATGAGAAGTCAAGGCCCCAACCAGATGTCAGTGGGGACTAGGGTGCAAGAGCTTTGATATTGTCTCTATTTTTTTTCGTTTTATTTTATGTTGACGGTGCCTGGAATTGAGCCCAAGGTCTCCCATATACAGCATGTGCTCTGCCTGGAGCCACACCCCTGGCCCTGGTGTAATTTATAGTAAGAAGACGTGTCTGACTATTTGTCCCTGTTTCTCTCACAGAGTCCCTAGAATGCATGGCTGTTCCTGAGTGCCGAGCACTAGCTTGAAGGTGTCTCCTTGTTAGATTTATCAGGTGACCTGGGAGAGCACCCACCGGGGGCCGGTTGCCAGAACCCAAGTAGGGATCAGGGCCTGGAATCTTAGTCCCACCCCTGCCTCTCAGCAGGCAGAAAGCTGGAGAGTGAATTAGTCTCCAGTGTCCAGATAGCTGATTGTTCGTGTCTGTGTAAAGAAGCTTCCAGATAAACTAAAAAGAACAGATCCAGAAAGCGTCCAGGCTGGTGACGGGGCTCTGGGGAGAGCTCGAGTCCCAGCACGCACACCTCCCTCTTCCATCTTTTTGTTCCTGAATTCCATTTTTAATTCCAGCCTCTTCCCCCCACCCCCCCCACCCCCATCTTTTGGTCACATCCTCTGGTGCTCGGGGGACTGAGTGCAGTGCCAGTGATCAGACTATGCTGGCCATGTGCAGGCCAGCACTGCGTCCGCTCCACTGTTTCTCCCCCTGCTTCCAGTCCTGATGCCGGCCTTTCTCCCTGGCCTGAGATGGTCTTGTTGCTTTGATGGGTATTTCCCTCGTAATGGTGACAGTGAACTCTTCTTCATACACCTGCTGACCACATGGATGTCCTCCTTGGGGAAGTGTTGATTCATCTCCTCTGGGGTTATTTGTTTTCTTGTTCCTGAGCTTTGCGTGTGCTTTATGTATCTTGGATATTAGCTCTTTATTTGATGTATTGTGAGCAGATGTTTTTCCCCCATTCATAGGGTGTCTTTATTTTAGCCCAGATTTTTTTGGTTCTTGTCAAACCTTTTATTTTATTTTTATTTATTTATTTATTTTTTGCTTTTTGGGTCACACCCGGCAATGCACAGGGGTTCCTCCTGGCTCTGCGCTCAGGAATTACCCCTGGCGGCGCTCAGGGGACCATATGGGATGCTGGGAATCGAACCCGGGTTGGCCGCGTGCAAGGCAAACGCCCTACCCGCTGTGCTATTGCTCCAGCCCCATTGTCAAACCTTTTAAATACAGCCCCATTTATTTCGTTCTACTTTTCTTTTCTTTGCCACTGGAGTCAAATCAGTGACTAAGGCCCATATCCTTTCGCACTTTCCTCTTCCCTCTCTCTTCCCTCCATCGTGTCCCTGGTTCCTTTCCACCCCCAGCCTGCCCCACTTGGCAGGCATACAGCAAAGCTATTTCACATTACTTGCTCTCAGAAAACTTAAAGGAATGGCAGATGAAATTGTCAGAAAAGAAATAAATCAAAGTCAGTTTGTGATGATTACTTGCTCTGCGCGTTTAACCTTTCTTCATCTAGGAGAGAGCAAGCACAGGCACCGGTAGTGAGTACCCTACTCACTGCCACATGGTGGCGAGTTTCTTCTGTCCTGCAAAGGAGCAAAATTGGTTTCAAGGCCGTAAATTCCCTAATCTGTTGCCTGTCCATGAAGTTGATATCGTGCCTTCAAATCTAAATGACAATCTCGTAGGCAGAGTATAATTGATGAGATGTTCATTTTGTTGGATTTTTGTTCCATATTCTTCCGTACACTTCCGACTTACAGAGTCTTCCTTTGATGGCTCTGTTAGACATCTTACGGAATCTTCTTTGTAAGTAATTTGGTTTTTGCTCTTGCTGCTTTCAATATTCTGTCTTTGGGTTTTGTCATTTTGATTGTAACGTGTCTTGAGTTTTCTTAGGTGAGTCTATTTTCACTGGGACCCTTCAGGTCTCTTGGATCTTGGTGCCTATGATCCTCGACTCTGGGAAGTCCTTACAGAGGGTTTCTTTGACTGTTGTTTCTTCGTCATATCTGCCTCCCTGTTCTCCAGGGGTTCCAGTGATTCTTCCATTGTTCATACTGAAGTGCAGTAACAAGTCAAACAGGCGTAAGACCGGATTTGCGAATAAACACTGTGACTTACTGGGAATTACAGCATAGGACTTGGGGCTGTGCTCCAGTGCTGGAACACCTGCCCTGAGGGGTGTTTCATCCTCAGCCCCTTCCCACACGCTCACAGTGAGCCTCACCACTGCCATCAACTTGTGACCCGCTCAACATGCACTTCTCCAAGTGTGCGAGCACTGCCAAGTGTGTACCCTGAGTCCATGTACCTCTCCAAGCGTGCAGACACTGTCAAGTGTGTGACCCTTGGTACATCCACCTGTCCAAGTGTGTAAGCACCCTGTCTGTGACCCTCGGAACTTGTATCTCACTCGTGTGCCAGCACACCGCAGCAAACAAGGGGAGGAAGGAGAAAAACAAAGAATTAAAGTTGAATCGGTGGGAGTGTAGGCGTGCACAGTTGTAGAAGGCAGATTCTTAGTTCAATCAGTAAC